ACGGCGGTCGACTACGTGGGAGTCCAGCGACATAGCCATTACACTAACTGCTGGTTCCCAGGACAGGAGAATTTTTTTGCCCTGCTTTGAGACCCCACCCCCACCTGCCCCCTGCAGCCCCAGGAGTTAGTTAACCCCAGCTTTGGGGAGGTGGCTATAGCTCTTTCAAGATTAGCACATCCAACCGAAGTCCCTGGACTTTCTGACTTCTCTGGCTCTGGGTGATCGCATGCACATCGTCAGGCCCATGGAACGCCTATGAGATGACATCACCAGCCATTCAGCGCACAGTCACCAAGCGTGCCCCGTGTGCCAGGCAGTGTGCTAGTGACAGGGCTACAGTGGCTGGGCTATCCCCACATCTCCCATCTCCACCATCTGCCAGTCACCCCGGCAGACACAGAATCATCCTCAACTGTCCCTCTTTGCCCTCAGGCCTGCCCGCCCAGCACATTCCTGCCCCAGGGCCTATGCGCTCTGTGCTCCCTTTACCTAGACCCTCCTCCCGGGCCCACCAGGTGTCTGCCCAGCGGGCTGGGGCTTCTCAGGTTTCTGCTTACTGTCACCTTCCCATCAAGGCCTCTGCAGCTGCTGGGTCTGGACGTGCTCCCCACCTGCACGCCACCTCTGTTCCTTGCTGATGTTACCTGAATCTCTGCCATTACTGCTGCATCCCTGCCTCTAGCAGGAAAGCTCCGTGAGGACAGAGACTGGCAAAGTTCAGCGCACCCCTCTATCTCCAGCACCCAGAACCTGGACAAGAGGGGTGGTCGATAAATACTTGAACCTGAGAGCGTGGCCTTCCCCCTCTTCTGCGTCATAGTTGTTTCACATAAGCCCCATCCTCCCCCGTCACAGGTTCCCACACCTAGGCCACGCTCCACACAGAGACCAGAGAAACCCTGAGGTGAGAATGCCACTCCCCTGCTTAAACTCCTCCCAGGAGCACTTGGGGCAGAGAGCTGGCTACCCCAGCAGGCACCCTCATTCTTCCGAGTCTCAGTGTTGTCATCTGTGAAGTGGGGAACCGTCATGAGGATCCAGTGAGCTGGCAGTGTGTGACATCAGTTAAGCCAGTGCTGCATAATCTCAGAGATACCCAGAGCCTCTTTCCCAAGGCCAGTCCACTCCCCGCAGCCCTACCCCGGCTGCCGCCCATCACCAGTGCTGCCCGCTCTGAGTCCTGCACCTGCACGTCCGTGCACTGAGGCTCCTTCACCCCAGGGTGTCCCCAGACCGAGACTCTGCCCCCTTCACCACCCACTCGCTTGCCCAGGGTCTGAGTGTCACAGCAGGACAGAGTGGAGGTATTCCAGGAGTGGGTACGTGGAGGGAGTGGGAATGATGCGGACTTGCCACACACCATTCAGCCACTTCAAAGCCTGGAGTGCCGCCCACCCACCCTCGAGTTCCCGGCCAGACAATACAGTCAGAGATGAGTCACCGGCAGGAACCAGCCTTGGATGCTGGGCTCAGAGAGAGGCGGGCAGGGGGAGAGGTGACCTCGGTGGTGGGCCCTCCCTAGGGGGGCCCGCCCTCATTGCTGTGTCCTCACAGCAGCTCTGGTCACATGCAGGGAAACCTGGGGGCACTTGCTCACAGACACCCCACATCTAGCTCCTTTGTCTTGATGATCCCAATAAAGGTCTACCCTCACAGAGGGCCTGATGCCACAGGGGTGGTTTTCCTGTGCGTCCTCTTGCTGAAGTCCCAAAATGGCAGTCAGGGTGGGTGGAGAGACAAGGAGGTTGAAAAATCCATTTCCTTTTAGGATCGCAAAGCCCCTCCGGTGTCTTCCCAGGGTCCGCAGGCCGCACCATGAGTGCCTGGTAAATGAATGGACAGATGTAAGCCACACGTGCTGGGAGTGGCAGTGGGAGGGTGTGTGTGAAGTGCTAGTAGTTGTCACGTGAAGCAGTGCATGGTCGTCCTGGCTGATGTCACCATCTTTGTCACCAAGACAAAGGGAAGTACGGGGAGCGTCTCAGCACTTTCCCTAGGCACCTCCTCACCTTCCATGGCAGGTTAACATCGCTAGTGGGAAGCCTCACACTTCAGTGCTGCATTAGCATTGGGCCCAGGGCGGCTCTCCAGTGTCCCTTATACTTTTGAGTGTCCCTCGGTGCCCAGCCGGGAGCTAATTTGGAGAGACTGCACTGACCCTCCATGCTCTTGAGCTGCTGCTAGTCTAGAATAATTCAGGACCAGCATTCTCCCAGAAGGGTGTCCAGGTGCTGTGGAAGCAGAGCTAGAGTGACCATTCACTGAAGAGGACTCGAGTGGGGTGTTGCTGGCTGCATAGGAGTTTGCCAGACAGAGGGAGAAGGAATAGCATGCCATGGAGAGGGACTGGCCTGGAAATAAAATGGGCCAATAGTGGGCCCAGGAAGCTGGCTGGTAGACCATCCAGGATGACAGATCTCTGTGGGGTGTCCCTGCCAGTAACTAAGGGGGCACGGGCAGAGTCCCTCCATACATAGCTCTTCCTCCAACTCTTCTCCATGCTCTTGAGCAGGTTATTTCCCTGAGTCCCGGTTTTCTCACGTGCAGAGGGAGACCTCAGAGACCCACTGCAGTTCTGTTGGTGCCATTACCTGCACACGCATGTTTGGTGAATGTGAGCCACTTAGAAGGCCTCCAGACACAGAATGTGTACCTGACTGACAGCCAGACTAGCTGGACCCTCACCAGCCTCAAACCACCAGCCTCCGAGCCACTGAGGGACTTACATATCGTCCTGCAAACGCTCAAACTGACTGTGGAAAGCCATACGTAATCCAAGAGTTCAGGGTACCCCCAGTCCGGGCAGCTCACCTCCCACCCCCTTGCCCTGGGAGGCGTCATCCTAGAGTCATTGCATCAAGTTGGAGGAAAGAAGTACAGGGGGGCCTCTGGAAGAAGCAGGACCCTGGACAACCCCTCAAGGAGAAGGTGGTCAGCCCATTTACTTCACCCTCCCCAGACACACGTATGTGCATACACACAGAGTACACTTGGCATACCCATGGACAGGAACACGACACAGTACACACCTGAATGTTTTAGAAAGTATAGCTTGCAGGGGACCAGCAGTTGGCATAATGGCTATGTTGCTGGACTCCCATGTAGTCGACCGTGGTTCAAGTCCCGGACCCAGTGGCTTAAACTCACGCTGGGCACGTGTGTGTTCATGCCCAAAATCCCAAGAGGAGAATAGAGGAGAAAGGATTGTAGCATGTCCATCCACCCTGGGGGGTGATTTCTCGCTTTCTGTCTCTCTCTGTCTTTCTGGCGAGCGCACGCACTCTATAGCAAAAACCTCTCAAAAAAAAAAAAAAGTGTAGATTGCAGAGCCCAACATTCTTCTTAAAGTTTCTAGTGTGATATCTGAGCATAGACTCTCCAAAGATAGGCCTTTGATGTGTTTATGAAACAGAAAAACCAACAATTAGTCAATGCCATTTTTTGCCCATCAGGTTCCATCAAAACCTGGGATCCACTCATACATAATAAAAGGGGTCCCTAGGGGAAACAAGAGTGGGGACCTCTGGACCCCCCCTCATTTAAACGTGCTCTCCACCATGATGTCATCCCTGGGACCAGGGATGCCGACAGCCTCCGGAGACCTGGAAGGGCTGGGCTCTCTTCCAGTGGCTTCTGGCCGCCGGTTTCGCCCTGTAAGAGTCTGCTAGGTGTAGTGTGGCATCTGCAAGTCAAGTGACCACTCCCTAGGACATAAGAACCCTGTCTCCCACCTGCTTCTGCAGCCTGTGTTCTCCTAGAGAGACACCCCAAGAGACTGAACCAAGTCAGATCTCTAGCAGCATGAGAGGATAGGTTACTCTTTGAAAATATCTCCTCTAGTAGCCAGCAGGTGGTGTGGTGGTTAAGGCACTGGACTCCCACATGGCAGTCTGCAGTTCAAGTCCCAGACCAAGTAGCTTGAAAATCACGTCGGACACATGTGATGTGCGTGCATGCCTAAAATCCCAAGAGAATGGAGGAGAAGGGACTGTGGCATGGCCATCCCTCCTGGAGGGGGTTGATTTCTTACATTCCCTCTCACTGTCTCTCTGCCTCTCTCTCCAGCAAGTGCACATGCCCTATGGCAAAGGCCTAAAAATACATACATGCATACATACATACATACATACATACATGGAAAGTCCCTTCTCCATTACAAATGGGTGTTTGAATCACTTGGCACTCCCTCACCACCCTAGACATCCGGCCATCATACTAGGTTCATATGGCAGGGAGGGAGCTGGGGAAGAGGCACCTTGATTCTCTGGACCTTATATTTCTGAATAGAAGATTCAATATAATAGGTACTTCTAAAGGAATATACTTGCTGCCAGTGTGGACTTTGGAGTCAAACAGACCTGGATTCTAGCTTCAGCCTGTAGTTAGAAGCTGCGTGACCTTGGGCAAGCAACCTGATCTCTCTGAGCCTTGACTTCCTTGTTGGTAAAGTGAGAATGAAAAGCACATCTCCCTCTTAAAATTGTCGGGGTGACAATATGAATATGGCTTGAGCTGAGTGTCAGAATTCCTTTCCAAAGCCAGCTGTGGGACCGTGAACTAGCGAGCCCCTCTGAGTCTCAGTTTTTCCCTTCTGTGAAATGAGGACATGGGACTGCCCTGGAAGGGCCCTTCCAGCACCAGCAGTTATAGGATGTTCTGGGCTTCAGTCGTCTGAGGTGGTGGGATCTCACAAGTTTATGAGACAGGAGAACGCCATGGCATCGCTAATTCCCATTCAGGGGTCCATCCAGGAGCAGTTTTTCCCTTCCACCCACCACCTGGAGAGACCCCAGCATTCCCTTGCCCATCCCCTTCCATTCCAATCCCCTCCTACGCTGCAGCCCAGAAGCCCTCCAGGCCCTCGCCTGGAGTAGACACACACTCTCACCACTGTCCTCTCCCCAGAGGTTGGCAGCTCAGGGGATGTGAATACCTAACCTACAGGGGTCATGTGAGTACCCCCCAACACCTGCCTGTTTGTGTCTCTGCAGGTGAGTGGAGGGGCCTTCCCTGCGAGAAGTCAGAGCTGTGCCCGTGGGCAGACTGGCTCCGCTGTTCTGCTCCAAGGATTACATGTCCTTCAAACGCCCCTGCCCCTGTAAGTCTCCTCTCCCATCCTCCAGTCCCTTGGGACCAGGGGAGGGCAGACCTGGGTTCGGGTTACAGAAAACAGCTTAGGAAGTTTGGCCAAAGAACTGAAGGGGTCCAGCCAGGGGCTGATGTGGCGTGGTGAGTGGAGGGAGGGCAACACAGAAGGCCCCTGATTTCTGTAAGACACACTCCCTGAAACCTGGAAATTCCATTTGGGCCATTTCCTCTGTCAGCCCTCTCCAAAGTATGGGCCAGAAAGACATTCACGGGATGACAGCAACGTCTGTTCAAATTTCTACCGTTAGTTACACGTCATGCACCTTGGGGTGGAGGCATTCCTCCAAAACAGTCAAAGTCCCCATTGTTAAATCTTTGAACAAGAAAGGACTGCTGCTCTAGGGGACACTGATGCCGCATCCAGGTGGCATCACCACCAGGCATGACAGGGAGAGTGATCCATTTGTGGGGCCCGTTGTCCAAAGAGTGGTTTCCAGGGTGGGGAGCAACCTGGCTCCTGGCTACCAGGGTACCCACGGAGGGTCAGGCCAAGAGCTGAGCAGATTATTTCTGACGGACAGTGTAAACTTGGTAATGATCGCTGTTGTCACTGTTGCGTGCTGTAACAGGAAATGAGAGCCTCAGTCCGAGGCCAGGTGAGAAGGCTGCTGTTTAGGGGTAACTTAGAGCCCAGGGACACCTGCCTGGCAGAGGGCTGGGGTGGTCACACTCTTGTCCCTACCTCCTGGTGAGGCAGGAGAAGGCTGGGAAAGGCCAAGGCTGGAAATGCTGATGATAGAGGACTTTCTGAAACTGAAAGCTGCTGACCCTGCCACCAGATCCCTCCTTGGCTTTGGCCAGCATCTGTTCCAGAAACTTGGGACTGTTGGAAGGTCCCATTAACTCTACTCATTGTCCAGTGGAAAGGGTCTAAAAACGCCCCCCATTCCTTTGAGCACATCAAGTCTGCTTCAGTCTGACTTCTGTATACCCACCTCATCGTCCTCTGTGTAGTAAGTCCAGCCCAGTTTCCAATTCTCAGCTGTGTCTGGCCTCTGTAGTCATTTCAACTTTCTTAATGACTTGTTTTGGGTTCCCTAATGCTATGGCCATCTGTCTGTAGTCTCCTTTGGCAGTGGGGCCAGGGAATTGTTCCTCTACCTTCCTGGGGGTGCTGGGAGATTCTCGGCTTCACCCTGCTTTCAGCCACAGCCTAAGCCAGAATCTTCCTGGGGATTACAACTCCTCCTTCTGCCTTCTGCTCCCTGGGAAGCCCCACTCTCTCCTCAGAGTTAGTGTGTGCCGGACTGAGCTCTTTGTCTTCCCCAGCCGCCTGGATCGTGTACATTCGTTTGGGACATCACCATTGACTCAGTCCCTCAGGCTAGAAATCTGGGAATGACCTCTGTTCTAGTCTGTTCCACTGCTCAAAACAGAAAAGACCTGAACTGAGTGATTTATGAAAATGGAGGTCCAGTGGCCCCATCTGGCGGGGGTCTTGCAGGGTCTTCGAGCCTCACTTGATGAAGTGGAGAGTAGAGCACAGGGCTCTGTCCATCATTCTTTCTCCTTAGGAGACTCACCAGGGAGCAGTCATCAGAGCCTCACTCCAAAGGCCACACCTTTCCACACTGTGAAGATATTATGTTTCCTCTTAATACCTTCACAACCAAATCTCAACCCGTGAATATGGGGGTCGCCCTCAGTTTTCCTTTCCTGATCCATCCATCACTGCCAGCTACCCAAGGAAACCCTCGGGTTTCTGATTAAAGCCACAGGTCATCATTCTGACTTCATCCCCAAATCGGCTCCCCATCCAGGGCCAGTCTAGAAATCACATGGTCGTTAATCAGCTCTTATGCCTGTCGTGTCCACTTGCCCAGGCTACAAGGAGATGAGCTTGCAGGAAGCAGGGACAATGCTTGCTGTTTTCCCAGGTTTATCTCAGCACCTTTCTTGGTACCTGGCACATAGTAGGTGCTCATTAAATGCTTATTGAACAACCGAATGATTGAAGCATGATGCAGCAGTGCCTTGTGGGCAGTCTTCACAGCTCACGTACCAGAGGACCTCATACAGGTTCTGAAAGGGCTACAGAACCACACACCAAACCCTAAAGCACCTCAGTCTTCTAAGCATTGGACATAGAAACGGGAAGGAAGACATCCAGAAGTCCCAGGAGGGGAGCTGGCCTGGACACACACCCCTCCTTTTTAACATCTCCTTTGTAGTTCTAGAACAGCTCTGTCCGTTTAGAAACCTAGCAGAGACTTGCTTTAATTTTCCTAGCTCACAGAATGATCTTGTGAAGATCCCGAAGCTCATGAAAACTGGAAAGCTTAGGGTTGGAGCTGTAGTTGTTCCTATTTGGATTCTACCTCCTCTCCCCCCTACAGTGGAAAAGGACAACCAGAAAATTCTCCAGAAGGAAAAGCGTGCCTAAAAGTTTCCCAATCAAGACCCCACCTGTGGGATCGGATCTCACAAGATCGGGAGAGAGTGATCAGGTCAGGCTGTCCAAGCGCAGAGAGGAGGGTGGCAGAGTAAGCTATACCAACCCCCCCGTGGGCACAGGTCTACCCAGCTTCCATAGCTGCAGACACTGCAGGAAGTGGGGTTGTCCACTGGCCTCTTGGGAGGCAGGCAGTAACCAGGCCAGGCTGAATTGGCATCTCCCAGGCATTGCCCACAGCCCAGCAGCCCCCACTGACCCTCTTGGAGACAGCTCTAGTGGCCCTTATTGTCCTGCTGCCACCAGTTTGGCAGGTGGGAAGACTGAAGCAGAGGGAGGAGGCAAGAACAAGACATGGGAGACAGGGGAAGCTCCAACCCAGCAAAGCCCAGTAGCTATGACAAGAAGTCAGTTCCTCTGCCTGCACACACCAGGCCTGTGGGCCACTATCTAGCCTTTGCAGGACTTGTCTCAAGCATTGGGTGAGAAGGAGAAGGACTAGCCAGCTCCCCGGGAAGGCCGGAGGTCAGGAGCCTTCTCCTGCTGGCTCCAGCTGGGCAGGGCTTCCCGGGATGCCCCCAGGACCCAGGCTCCAAGAACAAATTCTTCATAGCTTCTTCTTTACCACCCAGCCAATAGCAGCTCTGTGCAACTTCCTGGGAGGGGGGTTTGACCTGCCTCCCTCTGGACTCTGGGGACAGATCTGGGGAAGGAGTGGCTTCCCAAGGGAGACTGAGCCTGTAGCATAGCAGGGAAGAAAAGGGAGGAGGGAGGTAGCATCCTTCATTCACAGGGAAGTCGAATGCAAGTAGGGCTTGTCTATCAAGCTCATGGTGCTGACCACAGTCTGGCAGGACTCGCAGGCTGGCAGGATCTGTAGGTGGGCTTGGGTCTCCCTCCAGAGCTGGTGCGATATAGTACAGACAGTGCTTGGGATTAGGTACAGCCTGGCACTGCACTGACCAGCTGTGTGATCTAGAGCAAACTATTTGATTTCTAGAAGCCTCAATTTACTCACCTAAAAAATGAAAATAATACTGCCTTTTTGGGTTGCTGCTTAGATTTGACATGCTGCAGGGAGAGTCTAGCTTGAGGCCAGGCACTGTGAAGATGCTTGAGAAAGTTGAAAGTCTCATCCTTTGGGGTACCTTCTCCCTACACAGTTTAGTATTACCCAGGTCTTTGGTGATGAAGAGGAGGAAATGGAGAGAGGTGGGGACTCTGAAGATGATCTAGGGTTTCAAACCAGATGTTGCTGTTTTATGCTCTGTTCATTGTAATAGTTACCTCTGCAGAGACTTAACTATCAACAAAAAGGACTTCAGGACAAGGAGGGCAAATGATGGGACACACTCCATCTTTCACCACTTACGTGCCCAGAGCAGACATCACTAATCAATTACAGCACTCTTTCACACTAGGCCTGGATGCAATCTCAGCCTCTCTAAACAGCCAATGACCACGAGCCTGTGGAATAAAAACTTTGTCCAATCTTGCTGAGGTCTGACTTTGGGGTGAGCAAGGGAGGAGAAGGAGTGATTCAGCTAGTCATTTTTCTCTAGCCTTTGTTTCCCCATCTGTAAAATAAGAGTTGGTAAGAGTACCCACCTCAGGGGCTTGCTGTGAGGATCAAATGAGAGATCACAGATGAAGGCTTACAAGCCCTTCAGGCCATGTCTTTATGTGACCTCTTTCTTTGAAAAAGCCCTGTTAGAAAATCAGTGTGCCCATTCCTCACAAACTGAGGCTCAAAATGGAGAAATGAGTGTAGATGACACAGCTAGAAAATGGTAGAGCAGGCCTACACCCCAAGTGAGTCTGGGGCTCAATTTTGGCGTAATCACAGCTGGACAAAAGGACAGGGCTGGTGTCCAGGCCACCCCTTCATCCCCAGGCCATGGATGGAGAACCCCCTCTGCGGTGAGACTCCATGGCCCCGTGAACAGCCTGGCTGCCCCACAGCAGATTCTCTGGTTGAGCACAGATGGCGTGTGCTCGGCATCTGATAGCTGGTCTTAATTTCAAGTGCACAGTCAAGTCATATCAGCAAGCAGCGTGCGACTTCAGCTTTAGCACTTACCGTGGCAGTGGTAACGTAGCAGTACACCCAGTGTTTGCAGAGCACCCACCATGGGCACAGTACTGCATTTCGCTGTTCCCTGGAGGCCAGCCCACTCACCGGCCCTAGAGACAGCTCTGCCCCCTGCAGGCTCCCCCTCCCCCTAGTCCACCTCGCCCTGAGGAAGGGTTTCCTGAGCTTCCCCCAGAGCTGCCTTTGTTCTCTAGATTTGGATTTCCCCTAGTATGGCCCTTAGAGAGGTCTCAAAAGCCACAAGCCCTCCCCCCTGTCCTTCCTCCTTGACAAAGAGCGAGTCAGCCTCCAGGACAAATGGAATCAGTGACCATGGTTCACAGAGAGGCTTTGAGGGCACAGGTGGGGGGGTCCCATCCCCGGGAATCTCCTCGGTGGTCCACACTGGTGGCAGTGCAGGGGAAGGTCGGAGGGGAGGAAGAGAGTGGGAGAGTGAGTAGTGAAGACAGGACCATCTGTGGAGTGC